GGAATATAGGATAGAAAATTCAACATGCTTGAGAGGTTACAATGTGCATTTCATTGAGTCATAGTTCTATTGTTTTGCATTGGAGAGTCTTTAAAAATGTTAGTATCAAGTGTTTGTATCAAGCGACTGAAAGGCACAAAAACTGCAGACATTTGAAGACAGCTACACCAAAGGCACAGAAGATTAGTGCTGGAAAAACTCAATCTCAGGATGGAAAGATTGCTGTGGAGCAAACATATTGGAGAAAGGATGCAGCAAATTGAGCCAAAGCCGCCTCTGGACAAGGCAATGTGTGGACGAGATGGTAAAGTGGAGGACAGGGACTTGGCTAAAGAGTTGTGCAATATGGTGGAAAACCAAATTAGACTCATTACGTGAAACATCATTTGTGCAATCATGCCCCCTTGAATCTCAGTGGATGGGTGAGAGAGGGTGAGAAAAGACTGGGGAGTGATGGAGAACAGGAACATGTTTCAAACTGAGGTAGTGCCTGAAATTCAGCAAAAACATTCTAACCACTTGAGATGATTCCCAATTACAAAAACCATAAAATATGCTACAAATTTTACTGATGGAGTTTCTACAGCAAACTTGGAGAGAAATTAAAAAGATGTTCCGTCTTGACAAGCAGCACCTCTATGCTCTGACTCCAGAATAAAAGAAGTCATCAGTAACAATTGTCACAGCTGTGTGTCTGCAGTGCTGCAGCTGTGGTGCCTTTCCTTTAACAACCATGACTTCCTCTGTCTGTCCCTAGTGGCTTCACCTCATACCCACGGGGCCACGCCGTCTGAGCACCCCTCATGTTTGTGAAGTTCACCACTGTCCCCTTAAGCAACTAATACATACGTGCATAGATTCACAAACAGCTCTACAGGGCGGAGAACAGACTGGAAAAGCACATTTACTCTCTGCGCAAGACGTTTCAGGCTCAAATGTAACACATGGATGTAAAAAGTATTTTGGTGAGAATTATACAATTTCCATGTGATAGAAATCACAAACATTAAGTCATTTTTAAGTTGCATAAAAAAAACCTGTTTTGGTACCCTTCAAGTTAATTCACATAATTTGGATGCAAATTGGACAGACCTCAAATAACAGTCATTCCCTACTTTGAGATTCTTCCAGTTACCCTTAGAACAACCTATAATATACAGCATCTAATTTACAATTACATTAAATAAAAGTCAGACGGCGCCAAGCAGGATGATCAAAAAATTCAAGAGAGGCATATTTTTGAATAATAAAAAGTTCTAAGGAGGCCAATTTAAATCACACCATTTGCTCATTAAAACCAATTTTCTAACTTTGTGGCAAAATATTGAATTGAATATGAAGAGAGAAAGAGAGAGAGGTGAAAATGTGTCAACAAAATCTTAGTATTTCTATGCTTTTGAAGTGCTGTAGTCTAGAGACAGAAAGATAATCACAGAGGACAGTCCAAACCTTCCAGTCCCAGTAGCTTATCCAGACACTGTACTTTAATATAATACATTATGCATTAGAAACAATATGTAAGGTACTCTAAATATCTATCTGTTAAACTATTCTATTCATGGGTTTTGCACAATGAACAAGTTTTGTGTGGGTGTCAAAACTGTGTGGGAATAGAGACACATCTTGGTACTAATTTAGCATGCGTATAATGCATATAATTTAGTATTCCATGTCGTAAGCTTTCAAAAAGTTTATTTACAAGAAGAGAGGAAGTCTGGAATCCAAACATACTAAAAAATATATGACTCGCATCAGGATTAGGGCTAAAGAAAAGTGAACTGAATTCCTTGAAAACAAACATCCTTTGAAACTGCCTCCACACTTTCAGCTGTAATTGAAAAACTATTAATGAGCAGTGAGATACTTATCTGGCACAGCCAATGAGTTTTTAAGGAGACTGAAAACAAGCACTGTGTTGTTTTTTTTCTAATAACATTTGCTCCTGCTTCAGTTTCATTAAAACACAGTGTTGATTGTAAAGACCTCAGCAGAGTAGATCTGTGTGTTTTAATCTATGTGCTAAAAGGACATCAGGTCAGAGATTTTGTAACTTAGTCGAGGATGAATTGCAAATTTGGGGCCTTGAGAACAGCAACCGAATACTAAATACATTTCTTATTAGAAATGTTGAATTATTATAATACAAAACACCATTGCGTAGTGAAGTCCCTCTGGAATGATTTCCCTCAATATCACAATCTCACTCATTTTTGTTCCTGAACACTTCATATTCATTTTCACAGACATGTAGGAAATCCAGCAGGAAGAAGTGGACGGATTCAAATAGAGACTGAATGAGAAGTTTGATTAATGTGCAATGATTGAACAGGCAGGATGCCAACAAGAAAGCAAGCAGCTATTGTATATAGGCAGGCACATAAGCAAACACACACACCCACACTGACTCTTGCACGCACTCACACACGCTTGTTTTTGATATCATTACTCATAGTTTGAATTTTGTTTGTTACTGCTGTAACATTTAAATAGCTCTCATATTTCCTCTTAGTTAGTGTTATCTGTCTAATCTGTCTTGGGGTGGCCAATGAGATTTCATGGGTGGCCCAGGCATCCCCTGGTCCACTCCTTTGATACAACCTTGAATGTCTTGTCTGCATTTGTATATGTCATATCATTTTCATTTTTTTCCCTCCTCTATACTGTGTTTATGTATTTAGCTATAAAAGGTTTTTTAAAAAAAAGGTAGCTAAGTCTTGCACTCCTTTTCATTCTTTCAGATGAAATGATTGGATAGGCTCATTACAGGTCATACAAATCCACAGATATTTTTTTTGGCAGAGCTTTGGATTTATCAATGATATGGGATGTAAAGACATTTTCAAAAAATACAAAAAACATGCTCTAAAAAATAAATCATATGCCATTGCTTTAATTCACAAGTAAGACCGGTGAGTTTGTCCTCCAGTTTCTAGAATATCATTATACTCCTGTTTCATAGATAGTTCTATCGTGATCTCTCAAACTGAGGTTTGAGACAGACAGAATAGCTTAAAGCACTTAAAATATGAAATGAAGAACAATCAGCCCCTAAACATCTTCAGTGTTCAATAAAATCTAACAACGTAATGACAGCTGAAAGATGTACGATTGAACAAACGTGGGAAACATTACTTTTGACAGGTAATCAAGTCCTAGGAAATGAGGTGACAGAAACGCTTTATCAGCACCTTCCTACACTCACACGCCCAAATGTGCAAGTCCATATCTCTTGTATAACCGCGTCTGTGCCTGTTGGTACCTCGAAGCCAAATTAAATGCACGCTGAATGAATTCCATCCAATGCTCGAGTGCTTTTAACCATCCCCGCTGATGTACCAGCACTCACAGACACTCTGGGAGACTTTCAACCCACTGAACTCATTGTGGAGAGACGGCACTTACACTGTACATTAACACCATTTCTTACAAGACAAATGAGCCCTGAGTTTAGCCAGTTAATGAAAAAATATGTTGTTTTTTTGGTGTTCGCTTGATTTTAATGTTTATTTGTGTTCACTTACAGGGATTGCATTGATTACTGCCTGAGGTCTTCTACTCTTAAATGGATTCAAGTCTGTTATCCATCATCCTTTCAGAGCATTTCCATAACGGGGGCCTCACGCCAACAGCTACTGCATTTACTGCAAACTTTTCAGAAGAGTGGAGGGTAATATTTTAGCACCAATCGAGCTTCCCAGCAAGATGAACCATGTAGAACGCAGCTGTTTGTCTGCTATGCTCAGCTGGGAGGAATGTTTCTCTTTATTTCAAAGGCATTTGGTTCCATTCAGAAAACAAATACTAATGTGAATGCAAGAGCTTTACATGTGTGACAGTAAACAAATAGTTTGCCAACATATTTAGGCCATATATTGATAATATAACCAAAAATCGATCAGATTTACTTTTACATTTCATTTTTTTGTCACTCTGCTTTCACCGCATTGAAATCAGCCCTTGAAATTGCAGTCAGGTTCTCATTTTTTTTGCACACAAGAGAGTAAATCAAAGAAATACAAGACCTGTCTGCTGCTCGGTCACAAGTGGCAATTCAAATTCCCAATCCTCTCCACTTCTGAATCTCACTCCCATATCTATTTCAGTTGCTGAGGAGCTGCCTGTTCACCTCCTGCGGTGCTAATACCTCTCCAATGACATATCTAGGGTGCTTATTTGAATTCAAACCACTTGTTTCAATCAAACCACACAAATGCTGTGTTCACGTCGCAGGGCTGAGATTATTCCATGCTCTCTATTACTCTGGGAGGCTCACATTAGTACAAGTAGTGGTGTTTTGAATTGGTGTCTTGGTATTATGATTGCTGTTGTTCTAATGATGTTTGTTTATTTTATTTCGCTGTGTGTGTGCATGTGTGTGTGTGTGTGATAATAATTAGTTTCCACATGTAATAAGTTACAGATGGCTTGAACCCACCACTAAGGACTGCTGCCGTATATGGTCCGTTGCTTCTGCTAACAATAGACTTCCTGGAATGTGATTCCAAAGTAATACTCATTTTCATGTGGTTTCGTCCTTCTCTTCGTCAGACTTACCAAATAATCAGTGCAGTTTAGTTTAAGACCACAATATGAGTCTTTAAAATCAATCAATACCTATCACCTTACCTTCATCACACACAGGCATGCACAAACAGGTGCTTTATTGATCCTATTTCTAGGGTGCTAGAAGGCTTTTTCAGATCAAATACACTTATGAAAGAAGATCATTAAGGAGAGGCCATGCCCTTAATTAAGAAACAAAGATTTTTTTTTCATTGAAATGAGTTTGCTACTTAGGTCAAAGGAGAAATGGCAATGTATATGCATGGCTGAGCCAATCAGGGTTCCAGAAATAAATAAAAAAAACACATTGAACTTTCCCCCCAAAGGCAGTGGGGATAAAAGCCGTAGAGAAACACATTAGATAACGTGTCCTGTTTTACAGCCGCATCACTCCCCTGCATGTGTGAATACAACAGATTCTCTGAAGCTTAACTCACCAAACGTTTTGGGGAGGTGAAGTGTCTGGAGGTCACCTTTCAGCGGCGTGCCTTTGGGTGTCCATGCTGTCTTCTGGGGGTGTACGATTATCCTCCTCTGCCCGGATCATGGCGTCTAGGAGGGAGACAGGGATCAAGAGGGCAGAGGGAGAAGGAGAGGACAGGAAAGAATTAGTTTAATATGTCCAAATTAGGAAGCTGAGCACCTATAGCACATTGACTTTTCAAGCATTCAAAAATGACAAGGTTAAACAGATGAGGATAAAAATAACACTTTTGTGACTTTATCAGGTCAGAATAACTTGGTTTTTCTCTCCTTAAAAATGTACATTTACTCTCTAAGAGGTCTTTGGTCATCAACTAATTCATCAACTAATTAGTATTTATTTTCATGAATGCCACTGCCAAAAAGCTCATATTGCTGATCTTGAGCAGCGTTAAAATCTTGCTTTACACTTTATTTGTCAAAGGGAAGAATGGCATGTCTTCATGTGTAGGGAAGTGTTCATGCCTTATATAGTCTGGGTCTAGTGGAGTTGCTTGCTGCACATAGCTGGATGTAGCCAGGGGGCTAGCAGGGGAGGTAGTCCTTATGAGAGCTCATTAAAACAAGTCTTTAGAGAGAAAAATGATTGAACTAAAAAAAGGATGAGCTCTCTATTACAAATAATCAAAAGTAATGGAGGAGTTGCCATAGCTGGCTTGGTTTATTGAACTCAAAAAGGATGTCAGGGAAACGGGACAGGAAAAGCAGGGGATCATACCGTTGAAATTTACAGAAACCAGTGTAAGAAACAAATGAGCCCACTACTCCTCGTTTCATGTTACACTTACAAATGATACCTTAAAGGTCAACAGAGGAAACATATCTCCTCTAATTAGAAGCTGTGTGACATTTCTAGGCAGGAATATTCTCTTTGCGTTGACATCTTCCTTTTTAGTAACACTGACATTTTCACTAACTGCACCAGCACTAAACTAAGAAACAAACACATTTAAATTAAAGACAACAACTATTTCCTCTTCTAGTACTTCATAAAGGGCAAGCCAATAAGATGGAGTACCTCATCCTTATACAGATGACCTCACTCGACCTCTCTGCTCCACATTTTAGCTGAGTCTACAAGGCCGTTCTAAAGTGAGCCTTCAAGTGGTCTGAACGAGACAATTACCATTTTTCAAGTTTCCTCTCCAAATCCGTATCGAGACTTGATCCGAGTCTCATTTGCATTTAATACCCGATGAATGAGGGGGGCTTTTCCTACAATAATGTGAAATGCTAATTATCCAGATAGTGTGTGAATGTGAATGAACAATAGCTCATTACCAGCCTGAAACAGGGAAGTGTCATGCAGCACATGTGAAGGCCGTTCTTTTAAAGCAACAGATAAAAAAGGTCAAGTAATTATATGAGGTTTAGTCCTCAGTCTCAGCAATTCTTCTTAATGCTGAAGAAAAATAATATAAAGTGCTGTTTTAAAAAATGTAAAAACTTTTGATTATGAAAAGAAACCCATGTTTAAATGTTTAATCAGCAAGGCCTATCTCACATCGTGTATAAGATAATGGGGGCAAATGGACAGCGGCTGAAATGAAATCTGCAGTACTGTTATGTTGGGTGGAGACAAAAGACCTTGTTGTGCTTGTTATGAGGGAGACTTTTGAAATATGGTGGAAATTCTAAGTTGCGACACTGTCGTTGGTTACAAATGTTTTTGCACCAGCTATTTCCAAATCCATCATAGAAGTTTGAACGTAAATAACCAAAGAAACAGATGGCAGAGGGATATTTGATTCTGAATATTTAAGAGCGATGTTAGGGAGGGACTTGTTGCAGAAATTCTACAATTCTACAATTCACTTAGCAGACGCTTTTATCCAAAGCGACGTACATCAGAGAGTAAGTACAACACAAGCAAGGATCTAGAAAAAAGGGAACAATGTCAGTAAGAGCAAACGATCAGTTTTGAGTCCGATTGGACACACAGGTGCTGACAGGCATTGCACAGAGGCAAAGCACAACATTGACGGCAGTTCTTGAGAGCGCTAATCAGTATAGAAACCATCTTATAAGTCATCGTTATCAAACAAAAACAATCGTCACAACCATCATCATCATCAATGATATCGAAACCATCATCATTAAGTTAGTAGTCATCATGAAAGAGCTGGGTCTTTAGCTTTTTCTTAAAGGGGCAGAGGGACTCTGCAGATTGAATGGAGTTTGGAAGTTCATTCCACCACCGGGGGGCGACAGAGGAGAAGAGTCTAGTCAGAGACTTAGGACCCTGCTGTGAAGGTTGGATCAGACGCCTTTCATTGACAGAGCGTAGTGGGCGGGAGGGAGTGTAGACCCTGATGAGAGAGTTAAAGTAAGGAGGAGCCGTTTTTGTAGCTGTTTTGTAAGCAAGCAGCAGAGTTTTAAATTTGATACGAGCAGTAACTGGGAGCCAGTGTAAGGCGATGAACAGCGGAGTGACATGTGCTCTTTTAGGAAGGTTGAAGACCAGTCGTGCTGCTGCATTTTGTATCATTTGCAGAGGTTTGATAGTGCATGTAGGAAGACCTGCCAGTAGAGCGTTGCAATAATCGATGCATGATATCACAAGAAATCGATTTGTGTTTACAGTAACATAGCACCGGATGTGAAAAAAATTAATCTGCAACAACCCATATTTAGGGCTTTCACTCCCGAAAAACTCCTAATATTTCCAGGGGCAGGGCAGCATAATCTTTCACTCAAACTTCACCTGGACTTTCTCCCACCAGTCCCCTGGTATTTTCCCCTCAGCGAGGAGAATATCCTGAGCAGTCCTCCTGAAATGTTCTAGATATTTTCAGGAGTGAACATGTGAAAAACGGCGAATGAGCGACGCCATTACATGTCTCAAACCCTCCCTCTGAGTCTTACCTGTTGTCTGTTTGTTAAGAGACTTCTCTATAATTTTCTATATCCGTCCTCTTTAGTGAAGACAGCCTTGGGGGTAAGATGAATATGATGTAGGGTTGATCAAGGGAACGGAGTCATTTTTAAAACAATGAACTCAACCGTACAACCATTTTTGACTTGTTTTGATATATTTGAAGCATAAATATCACTCCACTTAGTAAGCACTTGTGTTATAGCTAGTACTGGTAAACCTCTACAAGCGTTATGTAACAGGAAGAAGCACTCAGTGACCATATATCAAAGGAGGCCCATGAGAGTCTGCAGCCTCCACAGCTCAACAGAGGGGGATAGACCATTGCAGCACATGGCAATAGACACGCACAGAGAGACCAGAGTGGCAACAAATACAACAAGATGTGTTATTGGATTTAGCTGATTAAACAAGGCAAACCTCATAACACTTCAGCACACAGTCTCTCTTCCTCCCTTATGTCACCAAGCGACGGTCCAAATAAATCTACCAGCAACATTCAGATTTATTGAAAAGAAATTACACTGATTTAACTTTTCACTGACTGTTTGACAAAGCCAAAACAACTCCACAGACCCTAACAACTGTACTTGATTAATGCCTTAAAGGATTTACATGCATGAGTCAAATAGAGAAAAAAATGGAGCTTAAACTTTATTGAATGCTTCGGCAAAGGAGGAGGTTTTTTTTTTTACTCCGTCTGTTTCTGATAGTAACTATAAAGCTACATTTAACATTGAGAAAAAAATACTTTCTCCTACTGTGGTAAACGCTACAAATGACTTTGCTGCCTCTAGGGTCACGCAAACAGCCCTAGTGCCTCACTGGGTTTGTTATAAATGGCTTTTTTTTTTGGATGAAGTGATAGTGCGGAGGAGTACATATTGTCTCCAGCTGTAAAGCTGTGTACTGGAATGTGCAGGAGCAAGGCAGTTTGTGCGCGAGTGAGGTGAAAAAACGAGACACACACACACACACACACACACACACAGAAGGAGAGACAGAAAAGGGCAGAAAGTGTGTACTTCTTGGGGTTGAAACGCAGTTGAGATTGAGCCAAGGTCATCCGCTTACTTATGACATACATGGAGCCAGACTGAGCCGCTCACTTGGACGCTCTCCATCTGCTCCCACTGATAAGAGCGGCTACTTCATGTGCAGCATGGCAGACACCACGGCTCTGCATTGTGTGATTAAAACCCACATTAAGATTCTGCTGGATCACAATTAAGAAGACAGTTTTTCTCACTCGTTCTCGACATGCCTTTACAGAAAATCTTAAGGAGAGCTTTGACTGCTATTTAAAAGTCACATTTTACTACATCTACAAGGTGTTCATGTATAGAATAATGGCTTTTTTCCCCCCGTGCATATTCTTCAGTATTTGCCGGTGTATTTAAAAGCTATTCTAAAGCAGGGGAAGCGCACTTTCTGCTCAGAGAAGAATTATCTTGGACTGCCAGCGAAAGAGGTGGACACCAATATTCTGTTAATGGGTTTATGCATGTCAGCCGAGGAACTCTCTGGCAGGATTGCAAAGAGGCTTGAAACAGCTTAAATGAAAAAAGACTTCTTGGACTGCAGGGACTTCCAACAGTCCATGGATTCTCCCTCACTGTCCTGTGAATCTCGTGTAAAACAGTTAGAGGTTAATAGATGTGAGAGCACCTTTTCCACCAGTGGGACTGCCATGTTTCTCTCTGATCAACAGAGTCACCTCCCTGTGAGCTAAGGCTTGCTTTAACATTATGAGAGACGGCTAAAATTCTGAGATTTTCTGGCAAATAGGTGAGGATGTCCGTTTCTGTTTTGTTTAACCACATGAATTCAAGACTAGGAGAGAACAGAAACATGAGGGCAACAATAAATTGGATATGAGTTAGACATTACTTTTTATGGGGATTAGATAGGTGTGTTGGTGCCAGTCATAAACAAAATGATTGATGGTGCTAACAGATTACACGGTGTTTCACAAAGTGGCAATAAAGTAATGAGGACTCATGTTTGCTGTCCTGGGAGGGTGGCTTGTTGTTTGCAAACATTTACACGCAAATCTGCAGTTAAAAGGAAGTGACAGCGCTCTGTATGCAGATTACAGTCAGCTGTCTGTGTGTGACTTTCAGCCTGCAAATTAAACAAACACCAGGTTCATATCAATAAGACACAGAAACCCCTGACAAGAGCCTGACCACAG